TTCTCATGATTTCCACATATTTCCAATCGAATGTTTTTTTAATGGCAATGGTTTCATCCAAATTGAGCATCAAACTTTAAGGGCTGACTTTCGATAATAATAATTAACATAAAATGCGCGAAATAAATTTTTAAAAACACCGATGTTCACCATGAGGTGTTGGGTGTACCCCGGCCCACAACCCCACCCTTCCAAAAACAAAAACAAAACAGCACGAAATGGTGATGACACTGTCGGAGAAAGGGAGTTATTTTATTGCTTACGATTTGGAATTATGCACCTATCAAGCTTGTTTTCCCTCTTCCCCCTCCCCCGCGCTGCCCCTGGTCCGATGTCAGGATTTTGTCACGTTTTTCATGCCCCAGGGTGGGGATTTTGGTCACTCAAATTGCATTGTTACCATTGGCGTACTACAGGAAAGTCCATCACTAGTGCGCCCCACGTATGTATGTCGCGGCTTGGTCGTAGATTGTCACTTCAATTTTGCCCGAGGGAGGAGGATTTTGTCACTTCAAAAAGTCACAATCCCCACGTCTTGGGTGGGGCAGCCCGGGGTAGGGGTGGGGGAAACAATTGATAGGCGCATTAATGAAATACACGAGCTGCGTTGTGATGAAGAAGTCATTTGAACGGTGAAGTTTATTAAGTGACAATTTTGTGATTTTCCTGCTGTGTCACGGCAGCTCACACACATCCAGTGAATATTATGCAACACTCTTTTACTATCTAAACATAAGAATATACTTAAAAGCAGCCTATAGACGGTTTGCACTGCCACCATCTATGAGGTGTGTGCTTTGTTCCACAAGGATACGATCTATAGTGTATTCATTGCTAATAAATTAATAAACAAAACACGCCTATAAGATGTCAGCTGAATACAATATGTCTATACATGCAAGAAAGTACAGTCTGTCTGATGTGCGTGCACCATATTGCGCAAGAGTTGTTTGTTGGTTCAGAGTTTCGATATACACGATCAAGGAATCCTCATACAATGAAATATTTTGATTATCTTGTCTTATCTGTTTGCCGGGGGTTGCGCGTGTAAATACGGGTTTATTCTTGTCAATTTGTTTTGCTTAAAGTAAAAGGATTTCATTTTCATTGTACCCTTTTTTTTTTAAAGCTGATTCGGGGCAGCAGCCGATACTCCAAAATAAGTCCGAGTCCCACAAATATTGGGCCCCTTCTTGGTAACGGCATTTTAGCCTACGTAGGCCTACGTCGGAAAAGAAGTTAACTTTCAGTTTGTCTCATTCTTTTTGAAAATTACGTCATCAAATATTGTCATAGATCTCGCATTTGGTCGATATTGGAATCATGGATTTTATAGTACATTTACAGGCTAAAAAGTATTCTCGTTTTGCAGTATGAATTTAGTTTGATATTTTTGCGTCTCAGTCATCCCCGAGCGTTTTCTCGGTCTTTCAAATTTGGTAAATTACTTCCATTCCCAGTGGCGGATTTGCGGAGGGGTGTGAGGGGGTTTAATCCCTCCTCTTGGGCCGCCAAAATATGGGTAAATCATGCAGAAAACCAGTAAATGACTGCTCCCCCCCCCCCCTGTCAGCTACCCCCCCCCCCCTCTTGATCCAAACGTGGATCCGCCTCTGATTCCCTCACTCTTTCTACCTCCCTCCCATCCAACCCACGGCTTTCTCTCATGCAGTGAACTGAGTTCCATTGGGGAGGGGGGTGAACTTGTGAGGGTTTGGGGGTGCCCCTGATATAATTCTGAGTAGTGACAACGGCGGATCCGGGGGGGGGGGGGCGCAACGGGGGTCATCCCCTCCCCCCCCCCCCCTCCAAAGAAAAATGAACCCAATCTTCTTTTTTTGAGTGACGTCGCAAAAATAGGCAGCCACTGCGTATACACCACCATCTTTTGCTAAAAAACAATTTGGTAAAAGTGGTTAGAAATTGCCTCAGATCGCACCACAGAGCATCTAGAATCCAATCCGGGGCCAGCCAGCCCGCTTCACTCCGTAAATGTTTGAATCAACTTCTCTTGAGGAAACAAAATTTGTTTTGCCCCCCCCCAAAAAAAAAAATGTGTTCTGGATCCACCCTTGAGTAGTGAGACGATTGCACTAGTAAGCAGGCCGTCGTGGGTTCGAGTCCCATCGAATGAGCTTGTGAATTTTCCCGCTATTTCTCGGACAGCAGCACTGAGTATACAGTGCTTAGAACGCGGTGAAGGGTAAAACCCAATATTACAATTCTGAGAAGAATTTTAAGATGAACTCTGACGAATAAGGAACCCAGGAACACGCCTCGCTTCAAAGGGGGAACCGGGCTTGCGTCGTGTGCGGTCACCCCTCGGCGCGCTCCAATGCGTCACGTAAAATAAAACGTTTTGTGCTGACCTGTCATTGACTTATTTTTCAACCTATTGTGAAATCATCATTTATCTGTGGGCTTGAGGTGACGTCTAGATTGTTCTCTGAGAAGATTAAAATAAATTGTTAAATAACGACAGAAATATGCTTTGTTTGGGGACAAACAACATAGATACAGGCCTACGTGCTAGGTACTTGAAATCACCAAATACGGTATGAAGGTGTTTCCCAGTACTTTATCGGCTAGCTCTTCACTATTATGTATTGAGCCAGTTAAAGTGCTGGGTAATCAAAACTGAAATAGACCTGATGCATTAAGTGTATTTATCTCAAGGAGTGTTCTATGTTGTTAGATTAAGTTAGTTACAATGCCCAAAAATCAGGCCTACTCCTAGTGATACAAAACCCTCCGACTCCGCCCTAACTAACCCATACGGTATATTAGTGGCAAGGGTTTTTCGCGTTACAACTGAACTTAGAAGAATAACTTTATTACACTCCAATGTACAAAAGGCCTTAACAAAATATGTTGTTGAACGGTGGATGTGAACTTTAGTGTGCCAAAAAAAGTGCTACATTCAGAAAACACATAATTAAAACTGTTTAATGTTTTTTCTTTAATGAAATTATATGTCACATTAAAGCCCGACTATTTCTCAATCCACTCATTTTTACTCCATTCCATTTGGGTCCCTAGATCCAGAAATACAATCAATTAAGTGAAAGGGTGTACATTTTACTTGGGCCACTCTCACCTGTGATGTCACCAACTTCAGTGCCTATTCAATGCTTAACCCATATTCAGCATGTCCAGATGAGAGTGGCCCAAGTAAAATTTACACCCTTTCACTTAATTTATGGTAGTTCTGGATCTAGGGACCCAGATGGAATGAAGTAAAAAGAGTGGATTGAAAAATAGTCATGCTTTAATGTAATATATAATTTCATTAAAGACTAAAAAAAAACTTCAAACAGTTTTAATTATTTGTTTTCTGAATGTTGCACTTTTTTGGCACTCTCTGTATAAAAGAAATCGTAGGCCTACACTTTATGCAAAACATGGGTCGATCATTTTATCAGTAAAAAAGTCGGACATTGAGCACTCTTGATTTTTGGGTAATTACTTAATTTTGCACGTACTGTATTATGTTGACAGAATGAGGATTTTTCGGGCCCTTGACGTCCCTATCTGATATTGCTAGCAAATTTGCGCGTCCTTAAAATCAAGTTTGCCAGTCAACGGTGATCTGAACGCCCTCGAGTTGAAATAGCCCTGTTTCCCAGGTTACCGGAAAGATTGCTTTCAAACAACAACAATAGCTACACTTTGCCTATTATGTTTCAAAAAGCATGCACGGAAAAACTCGACCGCTTTGTTTTCATTTTGCGCCTTATTTTTAAGTTGCCTAGCTGTTCACGTGTAACGGCGCGCGTGATTGGTCAATCAAGTTTGGCAATCACGCGGGAAGTGCGTGTGCACGCAAAGAGAAAACTCCTCGACCCGAAAAAAAGATTATGTATTATCTATTTGAATGTGTTATTAAAATGGCATTCATAATTTGATTTCGGGGTTCGAGGTGTTATTAAATAACAGGGATTTTCCACTCAATCTGGCTCAAGGATGTCGTGAGCTTTTTCACCTTCTTACAAGCGGGGGGGGGGGGGGGAATTAGCCTAGAGTTTTTGAAAGTCTAATGGGGTGAATTTCATTAGGCTATCCTACAAACAGTTCTGAAAAACACAAATGGACAAAGACACATACAAAGCTGATTGCTTTCTAACTTTCAGACTTAAAATTGGGAAATATTATTTTTTTCATTAAAAATATTCCTTTTCCTCTTCGTTGATGTCTTAATGGATATTAAAAAAAATCCGTGCACTTTTAAATATGAGTTTTGACATTTTTACAGTCTATGTTTATTTCATTATTTATCTTTTTTTCCGAAAGTAACGAAATTGGCTTTCAACTTGTGGAGAAAACCAGTATACTTCTTGTGAGATACTTTAATCGATGATGAGGAATTCTTATTCCTTCGTAATGATGGATTGCGCTAAAGCTGCCAACATTGCAATTGTGTGTTCAATTTTCTTCCTCATTCTGTTATAGCAAAATATTAATTAGATCATGACAGAAGTAATTTAAGAAATCATGACTCTCGTGATGGTGTGATGTTCCTTGGCGTAACGTAGAACCCCCCCCCCAACCCCGAGTCAAGTTCTCCACCCCTTGAGTACCCGCGCTTGAAAAGGAGACAAACAAGAAACTCCCATTGTTCGAAATCCATGAGTCCGCGTAAAGAAAACGGTGGTCGACTGACAGCTAGTCTAACAAGCCCTTCACCTATGCTCCAACTATGGCTCGTCAACAACACGGAGCTCCCAGGGTCGCGAGGGTATATTGCTCCGGCAGTGACGATCCGAGGGATGCCCTTTGCTCAGTAACAGGCCTCCCATTGGATGCCGGGGGAAATCCATGGTTAATAATTACTGTCAATACCGGGGCACGACCAAAGATCATGATCGCTGAGTTTTCACGTAATTATGCAAGACCTCGAAAGAAAAAAAAAAAAAACGCTGACAGCTGCTATGTACATGCTGTATAAGCAGTGATTTTGAAAGGAACTTTCAAAACCATCGTCCTAAGTGTTGCAATAATTCACCCTGGGTTGAGATAAGGCGGGGTATATAAAGCGCGCCGGGTCTGTCAGCTGGCAATTTTACTTTTCATCGTCTTGTTGATTGGAGCCGCAAGATGAGATTTTGCATCCTTCTCCTTACGGTAGCCAGCGCCTTGGCCTGTGAGTACACTCTCAAAACTTTTCTTTTATTCATTATGGACTTGGTAATTTCTTTTGTCTCATGTATGCATTTATTAACTGGTTTTTTTTCTTTAAGTGAATTTTGCTGTTAGTGAATATTCTCAAGCACAATGTTAAATGAACGACAGTGCTTGCATATATCTTTTCCAGGCTTTCGTATACAGCTGAACCTGAAAACTGAAAATAATCTTAGAACATTATTTCTTGCAAACAGTGTGTATTTTGTTTTGTTTTCCGATGTCTTTTGCAAAAAAATGTAAATGTGACATTTTACTTTTAATACGTCTTTGCTCTTAGTAAGAGATCGATAATTATTATTATTTCAAATTAAACAATTTTCTTCAGTTTACTTGTCACATAGTATTTTTTACCTTGTTTATCGATAAGAATGAAATATGTTGGACCATGGTTGGACCACGTACTTTAGAATCACGATCAGCCCCTTTAACTGTGTCCAGTTTTTGTAGCTCTATGCATAGAGCAAGGACAGAGGATCGAAAGCACACAAAGTCTTTTCTTGCAGTTTTCTAGATTTTGAGCTGTGCAAATGTTACTTGCCGCAGTGTTTTTGTTCCTGTCAAAATGCGCCGGCTCTCCCACTTAATATTTCTCCATGCGCTGATCGAATCCACGCTGCCTTTGTTCGGGAACAGCTGAAACTCGAAAATAAACTTGTTTACTTTCCTCCAGCTGATCGCTAAAGAATGGCAACTGATAAACAGTACGCTCTTGAGTACTGCGCATGCCCGGCCCCATTGTATGCTAATTATGTTTGCGCCCAATAGCAATCGCTTCGCGGGGGGCTGACTTGGCGCGGGCGGCAAAAGTTTGCGGTTAGTTATTGCGAAATGGCTTTGTGTTTTTTCCCTCTTTTGAAGGCCAGTTTTTATTTGACTATTGTTTTAAAAAAAAATGGTCCTGTTCTACAAAATAAGCTCGTAAAACTGTCAATATAAAGAACAAGGGCATCAATTTGTGTAGTTCTGTATGGACGTGTTATTGTTACAGCGATTTGGTAATAGTTTTTTCCTGCATTACCTTTTTTTTTCCTGGAGGGGACATAAAACGGTTAATGATTATGTAAGAGAAAGTGTTGTAATGCTAAAATCTTATTGGTTATGGGGTACTTGGGGAAGTAAAATGAACGAGTTTGGCGGGGGGGGGGGACTTTGAATATTGGAAAGCGCACGTGGTGCTCAGGAGTGACATTAGAAGTAGCTAAAGAAATACAAATCTTCAGGCTTGAGAAAAAGTGGTCTTTCTGTATATTACTATTGAACTAGATGCAACTTTTATACACAAAGTGTACAGGTTCAAGATGCTCTATAATTAACGATTTTAAATGAACAATTTAAAAGGAAGAAAAGTACTTTTGGATTTTGTCAACCCTCTGAAAATACGCTTTAATTACTTTGCGGCCACAATCCACAAAAGATGCGCCTGAATTAATCTACAAGGCACGCAGTATTCTTATTAAAAAACGAAAAGATTGCCTAAATCTTGAGAAAAAAAAATAGAATCAAGGGGGAAATAATAGTATTTAATCCTACAGTTTCTTAATTTTTGTTTCAATAAAAAAAATTCTAATTTTGTCCATCACATTTTACAAAACCTGAGATTGATTTTATTTTCTTTGCTTTGTTTTAACAGGGCCCGTAGCCTTTAGGGGCGACGAGCAGCAATGCCCTCCTATGAGTGAGTAACATCTTTTGTTTTTCATCTTCTAAGACAGTATTCTTTCTTCGAAAGGAATTCCGTTTCAGTTTTTCTAGAACAGAACTCAATACTTTTCAGTTAAAACTTCGGAATTATTAGTTGATGCACAAATCTGGTACAAAAACCGGGTTATATTGGAAGAAGAAAACACACGAATGAAACGTCTGATTCCTTATGTATTAATGTCTGATTCCTCGTCTTTTGAGCAATATAGCCGACGACACTGTATGCAGTTAATGTTGTAACTACGTCGCGAGTTTAAAATCTGTTAATTCCGTAGCCTTTTCCCGGCCGCGAATATTTTATTTACACAATAGTACAGGGTAACCTTAAAAAAAAATATATCGCCGGCCGGCCGGCGTATTTTCACATTAATGTTCAGCTACTAGATTTCGCAATCACATTGTTCGAGGTCGCCTCAAAAACTCGCACTGTCATTCACGATGTGTCATTTCTCCAACAAAAGATTGATTAAATGGCAGGTGTGGATGGGATTTAAAAAGAGATCGCTGATCCCCACTGTTGACTTTTGATACGCGTTATCGCGATGAGCAAGGATCAGCTGGGAACAAAAGCCCTGCTAATCAGTAGGGTTCCAAAAGTCAGGAACTAATACTTCTGCTGACAATGGCCAATAAAGTTAATTGGTTAAGGTAGTTAAGTAGGGTAAATATAACGGTACACCGTTATCTCGTAGTTTACCAAAAAGATTTTCTTTTCGTTTCAAATCAGTACTAGGTGGTGACTTCTGCCAAAAGATTAATATGATAGGGAATTCTTGAACTTTTTCCGATTAAGTCAAGGTTTTTTTAATTTCTCTCCAGTTAAAAAAGTTCAGGGTTTTTTAATTAGTTTAAGGGGCTTGATAACGAGTTGATAGAGATATGAAATTGGAACGATTTTTATGACGTCCATCTTTTGATGCTCTGATATTTTTGGCGGGAAATTCAAAATGCCATTTCGAACATGTGGTCATCAACTAGGTGTTTTCGTGTTTTGTGCCCAGGTTAATAGCAATTTGCTGTCTTTTTCATGTATTTTCTGGCTCGTTTTGGGATAAAAATTTTGATTTTCAAAATGAAAGTGTTTATGAATTTGTTGAACATTAAGATACATTTCTCAGTCTTCTTTTGTGAAAGATTTTAGATATAGTCCGTAGGTGCTGCACATTCCCTGTCTGTTTCAACTGAGTGAAAAGTAAAATTAATTCACCTCTGGTCCCGATTTGGAAGGGGGTTGTTAAGCTGATGTTTAGCCCAACAATTTCTCGCATTCTGGAGCATCTAATGAGAAAATTTAGGAATCACAGATCGATTTGTTTTGGCGCTTTTATTTTCTCTGAACACCCCACTGCAAAAAACCCTAAGTTTTCCACAGAAAATAAGCATTTTTGTTACTGCTGCAGTTTATGAGTGCAATGGTAAGAATAATTTCATTAGGTGACAAGGCGAAGCTGAGTGAAATAGACCCATCCATCTGTTACCGAACAAAATTATTCTTTCCATTGCACTAATGTGAAACGTTCATTATCTGTTTTACACAACACCTGAAAAAAAATCCTCGTCATCTGATTGGTCAGAGCCACCAATCGTGTGACCGTGCAATGGAACTTCTGTTTACCATGAAATAGAACTTCTGGGTTTTTTTGCGGTGCAGCTGGGCCGGGGGTTGGGACGATTATAAATTCAATGACATGTGATCAACACCCACGAATCAGATAACGGGATGTATTTGGACATTGTTTTAATACTAACTAAGACATGGTCAGTGGCCAAACTTGTTGAGATATAGTGAATTTAAGACTACTTCTTGTCTTTATTGTTTGATGTATACTTGTCCCTTCACACAAATGTAGGTGGATTTAATTTTAATTGGCCTTTTTTTAAGTTTAAACTTGGTCCAAGTCAGTATCTGTGTGCGCTTTCTGATACTTTTTTCTTTGTATTAAACACCTGTGTGGTGGTGGTGGTTGATCGAGAAGGTCAACGGACGCTTACATTCGTATTTCTATACCCGTGCTCTTCAGTACATTTGAATTTTTTTTTTCAATTTTCAATTTGCATGGTTTTTTAATTAAAAAACTACTTTTTTTTTCTATTTTGGGCATTTTCAACCCTCTGAAATTATACTTTTTATTATGGTTGCTTTTGTGTCCATAACACATAAGCATGAATTATTGTAAGGCCACAAATATTCTTAAATTTGCAAAGTACTTATTCCATAATGAAATATGGACGTATTTTTTTGTTCGATGTCTCAATTAAAAGTGAATAGCTTTTGTATTGCTAGAACAATAGCCATTTACATTGAAATTAACATTGGGAGTGCAACTTTAAAGATGCAGAAATGGCATAATATAATTATGCAACGGTTAATGATGATGTGTTGCTCATGTACTGATTGTCGTTTTGATTTGGGTTTTTTTTTTACCAGGCGACAGGCTGTTCGAGTCCGGCTCCAGCTACCTACTCAAATACGACACCTCAGTATCCACCCTGATTCAGGGCACCAGCCATGAGGTCACCGGCATGAACATCGACTGCGACGTCTTAATAGAGGCCCACTCGGACTGCATGCTGGTCCTGAAGACTGAGAAATGCAATCTCAAGAACGTTGAGGGAGACCGCCTACCCAACAACAGGCAGTTCTCCCAGTCAATGACCGAGCACGAGGTTGTGTTGAGAATGGACAATGGCAAGCTGGTCGAGATGTACGCCCACCAGGACGAACCCGTCCACATCTTGAACATCAAGAGGGGTATCGTCAGCATGCTGCAGCATGATCTCAGTGAGGAGACGACCGTCTCTGAGACGACCGTCAACGGAAACTGCACCTCCAAGCGCGTGGTTATCGACCGCTCCAAGCTTGGCCGCGCCCAGGAAGTCTCCATCTCCACTGACCTCAACAACTGCAGCCGTCCCCAACAGAAGGCTGTTACGCTCTCCCCAACTTCATTCCTCACCAGCGTGGTATGTCCTCATCATGTCATCTTCTCGTAGCTTTCAAGCAAGTCAACACTGTTTTTCTAGCAGATGTCTTTAATGCAATACCTTGTGAGGTCCAGAACTCTCAACTATTTCCACTAGAACAGTAAATATTCAAATAAATTAGATGTCCAATTCAAACAGTTTCACTTTCAACAGCTAGTTGATCAAACATCACTGAGGCTTAATAGCTTCCTCAAACCAGTCAATCCATCCTAACTCATGATCTTTTTTTTCAGCAAATTGCCAACAACTTCATCAACTCAACCAGGGTGTGCAGCTACGAGCTGCGTGACGACAACGTCAAGAAGGTTAACTGCAGGGAAAGCCACGTCTTCAATCCATTCAGCTATGACGGACAGCGTGGTGTCATGTCTTTCGTCCAGCAGGAACTCAAGTTCAAGGAGACAACCAAGATGAACTCCATCCTGAAGCTCAAGGGTGAGTATCTCGAAGAGGATGGATAAATGGAAAAATGTTTAGAATTTGCCTCAATGAATTTATTATATTGAATCCAAATTACGTTCCAAAGCAGAAAATATTAAGAGTTTCAAGACAGACTTTTTAAATACCACAAATATGTTAGCTTTTATTGTCTGGTTTCTCCAAACATTTAAATCTTGTCTCTACCTCTCTACTTAATTCAAATTTCTTTAATACTGTTGTTTTCTAATATTAAATATATGATCTATAGTGAATAAATGATCACATATTTTGATGATTATCTACACAGTTCCTCACAATACAATGTTTGATGTTTTCAATGCTGAAGTTACACCAGTCGTTTATTACCATTTACGTTATCCCTCACAAAAAGAATGTGTTGCCTGTTTTTTCTCGTAGACACAATGATCAAGAAGGACCTCATGTACGAATTCGAGGAACAGCAGCAGTCTGCCGCTGAGAGTGCCGTGCATGCCGCTGCCGTCTTGGATGAGCTTGTCCGTGGTTCCCTTGATGAAGTCCAGTTTGACTCGGCCCGCCTCTTCGGTGAATTTGTGGTCAACCTCCGCACCCTGAACTACCCAACTCTGAAGCAGTTCTTTGACAATGTCAGAAGCCAAGATGTGGAGATTGCCAAGTAAGTAAAGGCTTCAACTTCCATTTCATTATGGAGCCATGGTGTCAATAAAAAAGCCCCAGCTAGCACCTCTGAAGATGAGCTTGAAATAGGGTGTTGAGCTTGAAATTGGGTGTTCTTAAAAAAAATGATATTAGTAACATGTAAATATATTCTTGGTGTGTACAGATCACAGAAGATCAAACGCACAATCTTTTACTTTAACAGGAATAGCCAAACACATTACTGTAATCATTTTAGATGCCCTCGATTACAAATGTTGTCGATTACAACATAGAAAGAAGACATTGAAAGCCCTTGTACGCTGTCCAACAGATACAAACAGAAGAAAAAATACTGATGCTGTCCCAATTGTCCTGCAAAACATGATTATTCGGTTGTTAAAAGTTCAGTGATTCAACTTCCCTTTAGGAAGGCAATATCTGTTAAAACAGAAACCACTGTTACAACTTTTGGTTAGTTTTATGTGTGTTACCTGTTTGTAGGACCTACATGTACGACGCTCTTCTGCAGTGCGGCAGCATCCCCTGCTTCAAGGTGATGAATGACCTGATCATTGACGAGACCGTACCATCTCCCATCTCCGACGCCATCATGTACGTCATGGCCTTCCGCCAGTACCCTCCTCTGACCCTGATCGAGGAGAGCCTGCGCATTGCTCAGACCCATAAGAGACAGTCCGTCCTGCTGCCCCTCAGTATCATGGTCCACAACTACTACATCCAGCAAGAGGCTGAGCTGCAAGATGCTCGCAGGGTAAGCAGTGACAGACAGAAAAAAAGGAGAAGCTAAAATGTCTTGTTTGCTCCATGACTGAGAGTGAATGCATTATTCAAGTCAATTTCAGTCAACATTTATTTCCATAATGCAATTACATTGAAGCGAAATGAAGTAATGCATAATATGTCTAAACAAAAAATAATGACTTGAGAAGGAACAGTATATCGAAAGGAAAAAATATGGAGACATGTTCTGAATCCGGGGGCTAATGTGGAAATGCCTTGCTAAACAAACTGAAGTAACTAACAATTGGACAACCACAAATACTATACACATGGGGGAATTTGAAATATTGAAAGAGAATCTTTCCTGAAGAGAATCTAGAAAAAGCCTTCATTAAGTTACCTTTTTGACAGTGTTAAGTAAGAGAATGTATGACCTATTCAATTACAAAAAGAAGGGAGTATGTCTCTGCATGGTGATCAAATTATATTTTTAAATTACACCAACATTTTTAGTATGGTTTAATCCACATGACAACGTTTTAACAACGTGACAAGGCAAATTAGAAACTTTAATTGCAATTGTGAGCAAGTTTTCACTTTTTGATTTAAGATGCAATTTTCTAAAGATTTTGAATATTCCTTTTCTCTCATTAGCTCCCCGATCCCTTGAAGGAGTCCATCCGTCTGGTGCGTGACATGCTCGGCAGAGACTGTTCCATCCCGGATGAGATCCAAGGAGAGGAGAGGATTGAGCAGAATCGCCGCATTCTCCTGGCCCTGAAGGTGAGTTTCAGCTTCCGACATCTTGGTCATGTTCCCTGTAGACATACTTGGGGATTGCCGTGATCTCAGGTCACATTGTTATAAGTTCCTGTCTAAAGTGAGACTGCGACTCTGTATTGTTAATGTAATCCAAAAGTTCACACCAGGGGTAGATGTTGTTTTTGTTTCAGATGATACAAGTAAATCTGTACAAGATTACAACTTCTCAGAACAAAAATCTTCTTAGCTTGTTGGTGGGGTGAGCTAATAGACCAAACCTAGGTTATGGAAACTAACCTTTTTGTCTGGGAGATGCTCTGTTCAAAAGTCTAAGCTGTTTGTCTCTCATCTCTGCAGAGCATTGGCAACATGGGTGAGGCCGTCCAGAAGTTCGACAGCGATGAGTTTTACACCTCGGAGCAGATTGTACCTCGCTTGAAGGATTGCATTGCCCGCAAAGACCTGCACCACAACACCACCATGGCTGCTATCCAGGCATTCCGTCGCTTCAACATCCCAAGGTACAACATTCACACCCTATGATGTATCCAGTGATTAGACCAACTCAAACCTCTTTGTTAGGTTTATAAAATTCACTGATGTACCCTGTCTCAGGTATCAAAATACATACCCTTCTTAAACTGTTCAACTCAAATTACATGCCCTTCTTAAACTGTTCAATTCAAACTGTTCAACTCAAATTTTAAGGAAATTTTATTGCTATGCGAAAAAAATAAGACTTTGATTGAAGTTATTTTCTTGAAATATAGATTTATTTGGTACTTTTGTTTTTGTGAAATTTCTCAAATGTAACTTGCCAAGAGGCATCGAATGTTGCTCTGGTAACATTTTGAGGTTCATGAATTGTTCCTTATTTTATAGCACTGATGAGAAGAGAGTCCGCAATGCTCTGAAGGAAGTGTTGGGTGACTCCTCCAGGTCTGTCCACTCTCGTATCGCTGCCTACCTGATGATCATGCGTAGCCATCCCTCCGTGACCGACCTGGAAGCCATCGTTGAGATCATGCTGAACGAGCCTCTCATGCAGGTCAAGGCTTTCGTCTTCTCCCACATTGAGAATGTCTTGGAGTCTGAGGAGCCCCTGGTTCAAGAGTAAGTAAACAAAAAAATAATAATCCATTTCGATGATAACAGACCATTAAACAGTCAATCTTGATCAATGAAATGTTTGTGATATCAGAAATTGAAATAACCAGTGATTAATTATTGATGATCATTAAGTTCTGAAATTACCCAGGTGAAAATTCCAGTTGAAACCAGTTCAACTGCTTCAACTGGTTTCAACTGGAACCAGTTGCACTGGTTTTGAACTGGTACCAGTTGAACTGGTTTTGTACTGGTAAACCATCAGTTAAACCAGTCAAAACCAGTTGAACCAGTTCGAACCCAGTCATTAATTTCCAGTTGAACTGGTTTTCTCTGTAATTTTCAATGTTCACCTGGGTATACAACTGATGACCACAAATTGATTTTTTTGATGATGAAGAACAAAATCCCAATTTTTTAACCGCAGCCTTAAGAGGAAGTTCATCGCTGCCATGGGCAACCGCCAACTCCCAGAGTACCCCAAGGATCCGCTGCGCTACTCCCGCAACATCGAGAAGTCCAAGGCCATCACTGTGCCGTACCTGAACAAGACCATGGCCACGCAGCTTGAGTCCAACATCATCTTCAACCCGGAGCACTACCTGCCTCATCACGTCATGCTTAACACCACCATCAACGTCCTCGGACAGAGCTGGAACCTCTTTGAGGTTGGTTGGTTTCTGCTTCCCTCCAAAATACTGTACTTCATTTTGAATCAAACGAAGAGTCTTCATTAAAGTGAAATGTACACAGCATGCACCACCATACATCATAATCTTTGAAACGACTACATGCAAACTTTTCATTCGTGAACTGCAAAACTGTTGATTTGTGAAAACGTTTTGGAGATCTAGGATTTCTGACAAGGCATATTTTTCCTTTGTCTTAAAAGACCCTTTTCAAAAGGTATGATGTCTTAATTGTACTGACTTGGCTATTTTTGTTATTTCCAGGCTGGTGCTGAAATGCAAGGCTTTGAGCCAGCCCTGGAAGCCTTCTTCGGCCCCATGGGCTACTACCCTGATGACATCCTGGGCAGCCTCTTCAAGAACATGGACACCACGATCCTGTCCAAGATTTGGGAGGCCTACACCTTCCTGGTTGAGGAGGCTAAGATCACAATCGAGGAGCTCCGCAGCACCCCGTGGGCTGATATGAACGAACTCCTCCTGGCCAAGCTGAGAGAAGCCAAGCAAACCATCCTGGACAAGTTCAGCCTGACCAGACCCACTGGGATGCCCGCGACTGAGAGTCCAATGACCGAGCATATGAATGAGATCGTAAGTGGAGAGATTGCTCTGGTCTTTTCAAAATTCAACCTGCATTTTTTTTTGGCATCACCAGGCCAGCACTTTCTAATTAAAGTACAGAATAGATCTATATTCTTCAAATCAACACTGCCCTTTTTGATTTTATTAAACATAAGCAGTGAACACTTGGTGCTTTTCGGGTTGAAAAGCTCTTATTTGCATTTCATCTGCATCTGAGAATGCAACATACTCTGATAGTTTCTGCTTGCAGAAATCAAAGCAAGCAAAGCAGTGCATCTTGTAAATACCTGACAAGAGGTCAACTTTAACGCGCATGTTATATTTACATGTAGGTTGAACTATTATTTATGGTTAGTAATATTCAGTGAAATCGTTTAAGCTGTCGTCATAAACACCAATCTCTGATTCCGATCCAGCTCCGACAGGCCCTGCCCGCTGAGTTTGAGGACAAGCTGAACAGGATCCACAACATGATCCCCCAGGAGCCCCAGATGCCCCATGCCTCCGTCTACATCAAGATGCTGGGTAACGAACTGGGCTATGTCAGCCTGGAGGACATCAAGTCCATCATCCCCAAGCTGAACTTCAGCGTTGAGAACATCAAGACTGTGGCCAAGAAGGTGAGCGCAGCTCTAGTTTTGCCTTTGAGCTAGATGGCAATACACAGCTTGTTTTTTGCATTTCTTCGACCCCCTCACAATAACTCACTCATTAATTAGGAAAGTTGTTTGAATGAATTGGTTTTGACAAAGGCAGAGCCATAAAACTAAAGCCAATGAACGCATATATCCTCTTTCAATGTCATTTTTAAAAATCCTCTGACGATCCAGTCCTTTCCAAGACGTAAAAGATACTTGCTCTGAGCAATACTCTTTATTCGACACTTGTCACTATTTAAAGAGTGCCCTTCCGAAGGACCCAACACAGGATAGATTCAAATATTAGTGAATACTGGAGAATGACTGAATGTAAACAAAATAGATTTCGCATGAATTTTACAGATTTTTGTATGAATTTTTCTTGCTCCAGTATGCCCAGGAACTGATGGACAATGTTGCTGACGGAATCGAGAAGAATATCACTAAGAGCTTCATCTTCTTGGAGCGCGACTTCATCATCCCCACCAGCGCTGGTCTGCCTCTCAACTGCTCAGTCAACGGAACCGCCGTGCTCAGCCTGCGCATGCGCGCTGCTCTGGGTTTCGAGCCCATGACCATGAAGGCCTATGCTTCTGGCAGGATCAGCCCAAGGTATGTCATACATCGGACGGAGAATAAGTGATCTAAATGGATGTTGTTGGACATTATAGGATACTATTGAACACTCCTCTCATAGAATCAACCTCAGACACACATCTATGGGTCATTCCATAAAGTTAGGGTCCAAAAGTGTGACTTTTTTGTGTCCCTGGTATACCTGACCTGTGTAATTTGCCATGCAAGTGTCATTAAAATTGACTTTAAACTATTTTTTTTATTTGTGTGGCCTGAATTATCAAAATCTTATATCAGATGAAATTAGGAAAAAAGAAAAAAATGAGATCCCAAATTTATGGAAAGACACATGTAGAAAATAACAAGGATCAAACCAACCTACAAATATTCATTCAAATCCCTATGGCTTAATGAAGTATTTTTAAGGGCTGTTTTAAAATGCAAAAAATTCCTGATCGTTCCAAGTTAACGCTGGTGGCATCATGTCCGAATGACATACCAGTTCAGTTGTCAACCATTTTCCAGTTCCTTTGCAAATCTTTCGCACTAGATTTATGGGTTTTTATATTTTTAAAACTTTTTTATAGTGCCTCTGTGGAGGTGATCGGTACCATGGGAGTCAACGTGCCCATCCTGGGTGAGGCTGCCGTCCTGGCCAACGCCACGGCCTACCACGCCTCACACATCGAGGGTAACGTCACGCTGAATGGTGCCCACCTCAAGCTGAACCTCAACAACACTGACAGACCCATGAACCTCTTCAACTTCTCCACCAACTACTTCCTGATCAAGTAAGTATCTTCCACTTTTCAGCTGAGTTATTAAATCTATTCAGTGGTTTGTGACAAAACCAAATTTGTGGGTTGCCCAACGGTTTAGAGTTTATCTTTAGGATTTTTCTTTATATAACTTTATTAGAAGTACTTCAGCCCTTATTGTACTACATTGTATTACATTGTGTTTATTCACTGAAAAACCAATAAACCCATAGAGTGCGCGGGCGGTTTGGGGCGCTAGATTGAGTAATAGGCAGGGCAGTTTGAGGTGCTACAGTGGCTAAAGGGTTAATTAGCTTAAACATGGTTAAAGCAGAAAAAAGTCACCGACAAAAATTCATTTCTCAACAACTTGTTTACCCATTTGTCGATCCTCTCTAGGCCTGATAGTGGCATCCAGTGGATCCCTGGCGTACAACAGGACCGCGTGGAAGTCAAGAAATGTGTTGGAGTCACCAAGCAGGTTCTGGGTGTTGACCTTTGTGTCGCTTGGGCCTACCCCAATGCCAGCTATGTCGACATGGCTCCTCGCTTCCCCATCACGGGCCCAAGCAGCTTTAACATCACACTAGACAATACCGACAAGTGAGTATTACTGGATACTACCATTTTTTTCAAGAAGGGGAAAAAGAGCAAGATTATAACTTTGGAAGCATAAAAGTTTTGGGAGAGAGTTAAGGAAATTAGAGAGTTTAGCTACTAAACAGTCTCTGGTGAAGGTTTTCAAAACATAGGATCAAACAAAAAATAGCATTACAGAACCCTTGAAATGAAACTTGATTAATGAAGTCATTTTTCTAAATGATACTCAAAAATGTAACTCAACCCAATTGATTGCACAGTTTTAATACCAGCATTTTCTTTGGCTGTTTATGTATTATTGTGTGAATTTTCTGCAGGGCTCTGAAGACATACACCCTGGAGTTCCAGTACAAGATGCTGAAGAAGGGAGGCAGCCCGGCTAAGAAGACATTGAGCATGATCGCCAAGAGGAAGCCCAGCCAACACCCGGCTGAGATTACCGATGTCATCCTGGTCAATTTCACTGCCCCTGGTAAGAAATAGTTCTTGAGTTTGATTTCTAGTTGGATGAAGCCCATTTATCCATTCCAGCATCTCCTGCAAAAGGTCTTGGAAGCTCAATTAGTACTGTGGCCTTATCCTTTTTCTAATCTAACATGGAATCCAATAGGGTTTGTTAATGTATCTTAAGTTTTTTAAAAGCTAAAGGTTTCGACTTATGATGTAGTCTGTGGTGGAAATAAAGCTCAACATCCACTTAATTGCAATTACAGGCGAGGAACTGACCAGAGAGATCTCGTCTCTCATCACCTTCAATCGTGCCAAGTACGAGGCCAAGTGGAACTTCTCCATCCCTGAGCTCCAGACCTATGCCTTCGCCGGTCTTCTTAACCTCAAGGACCCGTCGACGTTCACCTCTGGCTTCCACCTGGTCGCCAATGCCACCTCCGGCCCAGACTACAAGGCCTCCATCTCCACCACTCTCAAGAACGTGACCACCTTGGAGAAGACCAACTACACCGCAGTCTTCAATGCCTCGGTAATGGACCTGTACTTTGCCAACGTTGCACAGTACGTCAGCACTGCTAACAACTGGAGAGCTAGCGCCACCAACTACTACTACTGGTAAGTGGGTCATCCTCACTTGAAACTTATTACATCTCACATTCAAATTTTGATAAATTATTTTGAACTGTGGTCCTTTCAAAAGACGTCCTACAATTGTAGGTCTTTTGCACAGTACACAAACTACAGAAATAACCAAAAACAGCACTGTTAAACCTATCACTTCGGGCAAGTGAAGGCAGTTATCTTTCACTGGTTCATATGCACTTTCAATAACATGCAGGGACCATGTAAGGAATAAAGCAAAGTTTTGCCTAACGAGTTGCAGTCAAATTAATAGGCTGGTTCCTGGTTTTAATTTAGATTCAAAAAAGCATCTAGTTGAAATCCTCATCGTACCTAGACAGAGAATTTACCTGGCAATGTCAAGGAAGCTATATATCTTTCAAGATATAATCTTGTGAAGATGAAAAGAAATTCAAGATTTAATAAGTAATCGGGAGACGTGAAGGAAATTTAAAGAAGAACGTGATTGGTAAAAGTTTAGTCTCAAACTGCATTAGACGTATTTGAATAATAGAAAATTCATGTTCTTGTTTATTCTTCAGGGATGATGAGACACCTCTGTACCAGCAGATCCTCTTCCCCAAGTACGGCTACACCATCAACCACGAGAAGTACCGTCAGAACACCGCGCTGATCGAGTACAACAAGCAGGACCTGAGTGCCGAGAGCAGGATCTCCGACTCCAGGATCTTGCTGAGCGTCTTCGAGCAGAACCTGCAGGCAACCAGCCACATTGAACGACACCAGGACAACTACAACAACGACATGGAGCTCAAGTTTAACAACAGCCTTCTGGTAAGATTGCATTTTGGGACTTGTAACTCGCCCTCCTGGCTTCACATTTAAAAATAGGTGCTTAAAACTATGGAAATAGAATCTCATATTATTGTAGTGAATCATCACAAAATTGTGAAGACATACAATCATGTGTATTTTTGAGTCTGTAAAAGTATAAGATATTATAGCCAATATTTCAGTAGCTCCTCTTTAATAGGTTTAAACCATGTGCTCTGTGACTTCATGCCAGCGGGCAACCGCCGGGCAGCCCAAAACATTAAACATCTTTTGCAAGTTATTTGGCCCACATTAAACAGTGTATGTCAAACACTTTTATTGGGCTATAAAATGGTAAACAAATAAAACTTCATGAAAGTAGTTATCAAAAAAACTGCGCTTAAATTGACCGTTTCTCGTTTTGTGATTTCACTCTGTGCAGGACATCTCCATCCTGAACTCCACCGTCTCCAGTGTGGATACCATCCTGGACCAGACCCACACTCAGAAGGACCTCAAGATCTCCCTGATCCGTCACAACAAGGCCATTGTCTACGATCACCAGATGATCTTCAGCCCCAAGGAGCTCAACAACACCATCACTCTGGGCTACGAGACCACCGAAAAAGTCCTGAAGCCTGGCTTTGAGCTCTACAAGGACTGGTCTTTCATGAGTGAGTAGCGTAGTAGTCATTACTCTAGCCCTTTAGCAGGATGCATTTTTCCCATTGCCACAAATCCATCAAATTTGAAGCTTTTTCAATGAACTCTCCTGATCTTACTTACATTAATTGCTGACAACTGTAGCTATCAAAGTTTGAAGATATAACTGTAGGGTAAAGCAAAAACACTGTGGAAGATGAATGTTAACATGTGGCATTACTACTGCTGGAATGTTTTTGACCTTAAAACTGATTGAGGTAAACAACTTGTAGTTCATTGACAAAATTCTGGCCTTTTTCTACTACCTGTAGAGCTGTACGGTGACAGGGCCTTCGCTACCACGACAATCTCCTATAATGTCTCCACTGAGCTGTGCCTCCGCAATGAGACCGTAGATGCCAGTGAGCCCACGCCCGCCATCTACATGGCCTACCTGAATGTCAGTCTGCCCCGCCCGTACAGCGAGGAGCGTCTGACTTTCAGCGTGAGCGGCCGCGTTGCCAACGAGACTCCCCTGGCCAATAACTACTTCAGCTACTGGACCCAGTTCAACACCACCGTCCCATCCCTCAAGGTAATTAGAAAGATCTTGAATTTGTGGACTTAAACAAGATTCAAAACCCAATCAAACATGCATTGTCACCTGATTATTCTTACGGTTTTCAGCTGAGAAGTGATTCCTTTTTGTGGTAATTGGGGATACATAGCTATACTTTTGAATGCATGGTTCTCCCAAGATTATTAATATCAATCCTCAAATTTTGTTTCCCTTCCAGTTCAAGACCACTACCCAGGGTGCTATCCTGAGCTCTGAGAAGGACTTCATCATCCACCTGAATGACACCACCATGACGCTGGATGAGCAGCCCCTGTTGGTCCTTGACTCTGACCTGGTCAGCAACACCGACAATGGCAACTACTATTCCTTCCGCATCCTGACCCCAGTCTACAACTACACCTTCAACGTCACCTTGCACCAGGATGAGGTCAAGGGATGGGTTGTCGGCTACAACACAACCCACAACAACACCTACACCGATCTGCTCAACATGACCCAGACTGGTGAGAATCATCTTCAGTGTTGCAAAGTTCATGGAACTTTAACAAATAAACAAACAGCCTTGTAAAAAGAGTCATTTGAAATGACACAGACCATGTTTTCCTGGTTTTTTTTCTTCCCATTTTGATAGCGGATAAACGTTAAAAACGTATATAACACTATCCAAACGGGAAATTCAGGAAATTGTTCTTTGAAATATAATTCATTAGTTTAACAAGGCAAAAAATTAACTTCATCGAGGGAACAATCAAATTCTGACTCCAAATCCATTTTGAAGAGAGAGACGTTCGGATTTCTTTTCCTTAAAACATGATTTAAAGATGATGCTGAATAATAAAAGTATGACAAAATATTTTGTTATAAATTGTTATTTTTATGAAATGGAGCAAGCCACATATTGTTAAAAATATTTGTTCTAATTGGGTCACTTTCTTTTTACTCACCCTGTAAAAGAAAGTTAATTCCAGTATATTTTTTTTTTGGGGGGGGGGCTTGTTACACCGACTCAGTTGCTCCAACATGGTGCTTTTCCTTTGAGGAGATATGCAATGTTCATTGTTCCAATTCCTATGGTATCGTTACAGTAGAACCACTCAATTTTGAGGTAAGGTGTAGTTTGATTGATTTCTCAATATTATAGTTAATTCACAAGGATTCTTTCTTTTGTTTGTGCCCTCTACAGCCAACATGACTTTCAGCCGTGATGCTTTGTCCCTGAATGCCATGTTGTACCACCCATGGCTCCAGGCCACTACAACCAATGTCCTGACACCCAGTGGCCCCATCAGGGATTTCAGACTTGTTCACATCAAGGAGTTTGCCGTGGATGCCTACGACAAGACCAAGGAGCTCAACTGGGAGGGTCTGAAGCAGATGACCACTAACGTTGTGAACAGTGTTCGCAGCTCCCGCTTGGAGCTGATCAACACCGTCCACGCCAAGACACCAAGCCTTGTCAACCTCACCTTGGACAACTCCTTTGCTGTTGATGGCAACCTCATTTACAACGTCTTTGAGTTTGAGGTGAACCGCTCTAAATGTGGATCTGGCTTGAGGGTCAACACATCTGTCTTGCTGAATGAGGAGGGATGGAGGAGCGGTCTGAGCTACCGTGTCAAGGGGCGTCGCATGCCAGAGGTGACTGGTAACCACACTATCAGCATCCTCAGGGTCGACCCAAGCAACTTGGGGGTAGATGTCCAGAATGATTTCTTGTTTGGCTCTCGTCTTGCCAATCTCACCGTCAATGGTGACTTCAAGATCACAAGGATGAACCGACCCTGGCGATTCGAGGGAATCACCGGAGGACTGAAGCACAACCTCACCTCCCCACTGATGAATTCCTCCATGGATTCTGGGGTTCACTTTGACAACTTTGTCAATCTTAACAACTTCAATGCCATCGATTCTTTCTTCATGCACAACGCCACCTCTAAGTGGGCCAACTCAACCCTGGTCACTGGCATGAAGTTTGACGGCTTCCGTTCTCTTTTCAATTTCGATGATATCACCACCAGGCTGAACCACAGCTTCAACTCTACTTTGACCAACTGGACCACCGGAGCCAACTTCAACCTGAAAAACGTCCGTTCCCTATTTGAGTTTGAGCGTCTTGATGCTGGGGCTATGTACAACATGACCTCTCGCTGGTCGAATATCTCAACTGGGGCTGTCTACGTCATGGAAGGATTCCGCTCTCTCTTCAACTTCAATCTCATAGACGGTAGAGTTACCCACAACATCACCTCTCCGTGGTCTGTGATGACTACTGGTGGTCTCCTTCAGCTCAGCAACTTCCGCTCCTTGTTTGATTTTGATAGCATCCATGCATCTGGGGAGAACAAGATGAGCTCTTGCTTGACCAACTGGACCAACGATGCCATCATTGACTTCACCAACTTCCGCTCCCTCTTTAACTTTGACCGCATTTACCTGCAAGCCGGTAACCGCATGAACACCACCATGGCCAACTCTACCAACACCGGTCGCTTTGAGATCAGCAATGTTCGCTCTCTCTTCAACTTTGATGAGGTGAGATCCTCTGCTGTGCACAATACAAACACCACATGGGGCAACTGGTCTGCTGGAGTTGGTATGGATCTCGTAAGCTTCCAGTCTCTCTTCGAGTTTCAGGATGCCGTATTTGGAGCCAAGCATGACCTGAAATCACTTTGGTACAACACCACTACTGAGTCAGAGCTGTCTCTCCATCAAATGAGGTCTCCATTCAACTTCCAGAAGGTGATGGGAGTCGTCGAGCACAGCACTAACACTTCCCTTGGCAACTGGACAACATACTCTGGCATCTCGCTGAATGAGTTCCAGTCTATTTTCAACTTCAGGAGCATCGATGCTGCTCTTGGCCACAGGATTGACTCCCGATGGGTCAATTGGACCACTGACTACAGCATGATCCTTGACGATGTCAGGTCCCTCACTCAATTCACCAATGCCAACAGCGGATTCTCCACTGTTCTGCACACAAAGTGGGGCAACATGACCACAAACACCGGTGTTGAATTTGCTGAGTTCCGCTCCTTGATGGATTTTGACAAGATCACAGCTTTCTACCACACTTTTGTCAACACCAGCATCCTCAATGCAACCCATGTCTTTGATAATGAGATCACCAACTCCAGAGGTCTTTTCAACTTCGACAGGGCTTCCAGCAAGATGGCCACAAATGTGACCAGCATCCTGGGCAATGTTGAGCTGTACAATGGCATCGAGCTTGACAACTTCGAGAGTCTGATGAGGTTTGCAAAGATCAACCACACACTCACTGCTAATGTCACTGCTCGTTACATTAATGCCACCACCCTCAGCAATCTGATTCTGCAGAACTCCTATGGTCTCTTCAACTTTGAGAAGTTCAATTACGATGGAAAGTCTCTGGTCCAGTCTCGTCTCATGAATGTCACTGAACACAGGGCACTGAAGCTGAACAACTTCGCATCTTTGAAGAAGTTTGAGTCTGTTTCTCTGGATACACTAACCAATATCACTACCCCCATCACTGTAATGAATCTGACACAGTTCTATGGTCTCTACAACATGCGTGATGTCCTGAGTTTCGAGAAAGCTAATGCCACCATCGTCTATGAAGGCAAGGGACCGCTTGGGGAGCTGAAATTGAAGCACGACCAAGTGATTGACAACATGTCTGGTCTCTTCCAGATTGAGTTTACCAACCTGACACAGGAAGCTAACATGACCTCTCGCTTCTTCAACCTGACTGCTGTCCACTCTCAGGTGACTAACCAGATGAATGGCCTGTACAACTTTGAGCGCATCAATGGCAGCGTCAACTACAACCTGAGCAGCCCGGTGGGAACCTTGACAGCTTATGCAAGCTCAGATCTGAATGACTTCAGGAAGCTGTTCAACTTCCGCCTGGTCAATAATACTGGTCTCCTAAACTTCACCAGCAGGTACATGAACCTGACCCACATTGGCAACTTGGAGTTCAACAACTTCCGCAGCATGTTTGAATTTGATCTGATCAATGGTAGCACAAGCACTAACTTCTCCTCTCTCATCGGAAAGGTGGCTACCGCTTCTGCTGCTGAATTCAATGACTTCCGAAGCCTGTACAACTTTGCCCTTGTCCGTGCTAACAACACCGTTAACGTCTCCAGTGCTATGCTCAATGTTACCACTGAACATGGTGTGGAGATGAACAACTTCAGGAAGATGTTCAACTTTGATCGTGTCAATGCATCTAGCCGTGTCAATGTCAGCACTCCTCTTGGAGTTGTCGGCAATGTTGCTGAGCTTGGCTTCCACAACTTCCGCAGCTTGTTCAACTTTGAGCGTATCAACTTTACAAACAGCGCCAATGCAAGCAGCAGGTATGTGAATGGCACCAGCCAGACTGATGTTGAATTCAACAACTTCACTCGCATCTTGACCTTTGAGCGCATCATTGCCACCACCAATAACAACCTCAGCACTCCTTTCTTCAACACCACCGGCCAGGCTGGTATTGAGATGCACAACTTCTCAAGCCTGTTCAACTTCTCCCGTGTGAATGCCAGTGTCCTTGCTGCACTGAAGAGCAGGTTCATCAACTCATCTGGTGAGGCTGCAGTTGAGTTCCACAACTCTTCCAAGCTGTTCACCTTTGAGCGAATCAACGCAACAGCCAAGGCTAACGTGAGTACCCCTTTCATCAACACCACAGCTATGGGTTACATTGGCTTCCACAACTTTAGCAGCCTTCTGAACTTCTCCCGCATCAACTCCACTATTGAAGCTAACGTCACTAGCCAATTGGCTAACCTAACGACCAGCGGCAGCATGGAACTTAGGAACATGAGTGGCTTCAACAAGTATGAGCTTCTAAATGGTACCACACGTGCAAACTTCACCAGCCGACTGGTCAACATGACATCTGCCACCAACATGGAGATCACCAACATGACCGGATTTGCTCGCTTCTTGCGCATGATCAACAACGCCAGCCTGAACATCACCAGCAAGCTCGCCAACCTGACCACTGCAGTCAACTCTGAAGTCAACAACATGACCGGTCTGATGATGTACGACCGCATGCTGAGTAATGCCAGCCTCAACTTCACCAGCAAGTTGGCCAATCTGACTGCTGGCACAGGCATGGAAGTGAACAACATGACTGGTTTGATGGTGTACGACAGAATCTTCACCAATGGTAGCTTGAACTTCACCAGCTGTCTGGCCAAGCTTAACAGCTCTGCCAGCATGGAAATTAACAACATGACAGGCTTCAGTAGGTTCCACCGCATCATCGCAAATGCCAGTCTGAATGTGACAAGCAAATTGGCTAATCTGACTACTGGCTCCAACATGCTCATCCGCAACATGACTGGAGTTGGCCAATTCGAGCACATCATGGGCAACGTCAGCCTGAACTTCACCAGCAGACTGGCTAACCTGACCACGCTGCACACCCTCGAGATGAACAACTTCACATCTCTCATCACCTTCCAGAAGATCAATGCCACCAGCAGTGTCAATGCAAGCACCCTGATCGGTGATGTTATAGTGAAGGGAGGTGTTGAGGCTCACAACATCAACACTTTGTTGACCTTCGACCGCATCAATGGCAGCTTTTCCACAGTTGCAAACAGCCTTCTTGCCAACTTGAATGTTAACGCTGACTTTGGCCTGCATGAATTCACCAACTTGACCCACTTTGAAAGAGCCAATGCCACCCTTGTCTGGGATCTGGTCTCTGACTACTTCACTGCTGGTCAGAATTCCTCCATCACCCTGAGCCAGTTCCGTGGTGTGCGTGTCTTTAACAGCATCATAGGTAACACCTGGATCTTCTTTAACTCCCCGATGTATGCCACAGGCATCCGCACTACCCTGGACGTGGACAATGCTTTCAACTTCTTCCAAGAAGCAGAGATGTTTTCTGACCTCATCTTGATGGGAAACAAGTATCAGCTCATTACGAGGCAGTCTTCTGATAACGAGCACCTGCTGTTTAATGTGACCATCCCATCCCGAGGCTCCCTCTGCCTAGACAACTACCTGAATGCAGTCGGTGATGAGTTCATCATGACCCTCTTCCACCAGATGGAGGTAACTTTATTTTTCATTTTTACTTTGATAGAGCAAACCTATTTTTTAAAGTTTTCTTGGAGTATTAACACAAGTTTTACATTTTTATTTGGGGTTTCATAGTTAATCAATGTATAAAACTTTGCTGAAGTAAATTGACTATTTTTCACAGTCCATAATGTCAAGTTTTCCTCTATATTTTTTTGTTTTCCAGGATGTTAAGACAGTTGATCTGACCTGGCTTCTGAAACTGAACAACACTGGTGTGATCTACAGCAATGTCAGCTGGAATCCGGAGACAGTCCAAGCCATCAAGGAATTCAATGAGAATGTCTACATGAACCTCCTAAAGATGGCTCGTAATATCAGCAACTCCACCCAGAGCTACTTGGAGAAGGCACTCAACCAGACCTATGTAGTATTCAACCAAACCCTTGAGATTGCAAACAACACCATCCGCCTCCTCAACTACACTTACTACAACCCACGTGAAGCTTACGAGACCTTCCGTGAGAGAGAAGAAGTTAAGGAGCTGGAGAAGAAGTTGAATGATTCCATCCAGAAAGTTAAAGATTACCTCCAGGAGGTTAATGACACCCTGAGAGACATCGTCAGCAGGATGGACTTCACCACTGTGGACTCCACCATCCAGAGCTTCAAGTCTTTGAGAGAGGTACAAAGGTTCCAGAGGAAACTGAGAGAGGCTATTGACAGGTACTCTGAGGTGTTCAACACCAAGTATGATGAGGCATTGGAGAAGATCAATGAAATTGTTGATGAGATTATCTTGATCTCCAAGGATCCTGAAAATCCCATCAATGCCCTCCTCTTGGAATGTCTGGACATGACCATGAATGACGTTGCCACTAAGAGCTACGACTTAACCCTCGAGTACGGCAACATTGCCTACGAAAGATCTCTGATGTATGGTCGCTTGGCAAAGAATTTCACTCTGTATTCTGCTGAGTGGGCACTCAATAACACCAAGAACATCACCGAATGGGCCATCTATGAAGTCGGTAACTACACCATCCTTGTTTACAATAAGACCGTCAATTTCTCAAAGTGTGCTCTGGAGTATGCTCTCAACTACACAGACACAATTAAGAATGTCTCATTGATTGTCCTCGATTATGCCAACTACTACAAAGATTGGGCTGTCAACCAGACTGAGCTGATTGTTGACATCTCTAGACCATATGTCATCTGGATGATTGAATACAGCGAGCCGTACAGAGTCAATGCGATGGCATATGCTAAACAACTTGTCAAAGACACTACCAAGAAGATGGTCATTGTCTTCAAGAGGACCGTTGAGCTGGGCAAGTCCACAATTAAGTATGCCAAGAAGGGTTACAGAATGGGAAAGCAGTATGCCACTGACATCTCTGTCAGAATAGTGGAGATCAGCAAGGATCCTGAGCATTTTGTCAACAGGGTTTTGATGGAGCGCTTCACTGACAGAACCCTCTATGAAGTTGCCGAAGATGGTTACAACCGCATCTCCAGTTTCACTGATGAGTGGTACAGGAAGGCCGAACAGATGTACCTTGATTACTACTACAGGATTGAGGAGCTGTACCGCACCTACTACTACAGAGTTGAAGAGCTGTACCAAGATTATTACCTTAAGTTGGAAGAGTTTGTCCTGGAGACTATGACCAAACTGGAAACATTCAGTATGGAAGAGGACCACTTGCTTAATACCTATATGCGCCAGTACTTTGACAAGAACCTGTATGAGGTGAGTTGTACTTTTTACAAATGTTGCATTATAAACTGCTTGCTTTTAAAAACATTATTTCTCTCTGAGATAATCTGGATACAAATACAATTGTATTATTACATTGTGCCGAAAACTGTAATGACTAATTTTTCTTTACATTTTTATTTTGTTTCTAGGTCTACCTGTTGGCTAACGAGCAGTGGACTTCCCTCAGAAGTGAAGCTGAGGTAATGAAAACAGAGTTCATGCAGTGGCTCAAAAGAGTTCGCACACAGCCTCTGCAAGTCACCAAGGATGAGATCAAGCTTTACTTGCAAGGTAAATATGAGAAAGCCCAGGAACTGGTTGAGGAGTTCCTAGCACGTGAGGATGTCGCCCAGGTTTTGGAGAAGGTCAGGGCATCGTTAAGGTGGATGAACCAGACCCGCTTCCAGCCCCTAGAGCAGACGGTTGAGGAGGTGAAGCTGATCGTGGAAGAGACCCGTGATATGGCCCTTGACTTCATCGAGGAACTCAAGCAGAGGGAGGAGTACACCAAGCTTGTACAGATGTTCAATGACTTCTTGGCCCGAGAAGATGTCAGCAAGACCATTGATGTTATCAAACAGGTGCTGCAGTGGGCCAACCAAACCCGCTTCCAGCCCCTGGAGGAAACGATTGAGCAGATCCGGTTTGTCTTGGAAGAGAACTACTACATCATCCAAGATATGATCCTGACCTTCCCTGTCGAATCTAACGTCAGGAAGATGGTTGAAATCGCCAAGATCTGGGCCAACGAGACTGAAGTCTTCCTCAACAAGACCTACAATGTCACCATGGAGACCTACTACCTTGTGAAGGATCTTGCCGAGGAGAAGTACCTGCTTGTCAAGGAGATTGCCGAGGAGAAGTACCTGCTTGTCAAAGAATACACTCTTGAGCAGTGGCGTTACTTGAAGGAGGAGACTCCATACGTTGAGAAGGCCAAGGAGCTTATTGAGAAGACAAGGGTGTATGTAGAGGACAAGATCGACTTCACCAAAGAATATGCTGTCCTTGTTAGGGATTTGACCGTTAGCACCACCAAGGATGTTATCACCTATGTCAATGGCACCATGGCAGGTAGGTGCACTTAATAGTATTCGAATTAGAGGAACACTTGAATTATTTTAATAAAATATTACTTTGTATTGCATTTTAGAATTGATTACTTAAGAATGATACTCTATATCTACTCAATGTCCATCTTTTCTAATCCTCTGATGAATTTGATTTATTATTGATGTGTCATACAGGATGGGCCATCCGTTATTATGAGCTTGACCAGCTGCCTTTCCGTGCCTTTGATCGCTACGTCACATTTGTCTATGGCACCAAAGACACCATCACCTATATTGTGCGTGTTGCCATTGATGAAATCCCTTACATCATCGACAATGGCCTGCTCATCATCGACAATGGTTTGAACACCGTAGGGCGAGTGGGCGAGCACAGCTACGCCATGAACATCAGCCACCCTCTGTCCTGGGCCAGCTTCCGCGAGACACCTGACCTGACCGAGGAGCAATGGCGCATTGTCATTCAGACCAAAGACATGATCGAAGAGAACATCATTGAGCCATCCATCACCAAGATCAAGGAGTGGCTTCAGATCGCCAACGAGACACAGAGGGAGATCCGTACTTACATCAAGGTATGTCAAAATCAATTGGAAGCTCAACTTTGATTGATCATTTTTTGATGAAGACATTCCCCGATGTACCAAAAATTGAAAGAATTACACCCAAGTGTTTCTGGAGAAAACATTAATCATACAATTGGACTCATTCTAAAATGCTTGAGAATATTTTTATTGATCAAATGTGAACTTTATTTGGCTCATTTAAACCGAAATTGAGAGACAAACATATATGTATATATTTTCAGGAGGTATACGACACCAACAAGCCAATCGTTGAGGGGCGTCTGGAAGAGCTGAAACAGAAGATCCTTGAGCTGAAGCAGAACATCAGCGAGGAGTACAAGAAGCTGCCGACCCTTGAGCAACTGAGGAACTTTGATCAGCTGGCTGAGAAGTACCCCATCCTCTTGGAGATCAAGGCCAATCTGACTGACCTGAAGGAAAAGATCCAGGACAAGATCCCCACTGTTGAAGAGCTGAAGGACAAGTGGACCGAGCTGAAGCAGACAGTCAAAGACTACATCCCCACCATGGAAGAGATCGAAGGCAACTGGACCATCCTGAGACAGAATATTGAGGGTAACTGGACGATGTTGAGAGGCAACCTCGAGGAGAAGTGGATCCTGTGGTCAGACTACATCCAGGGCAACTACACCCTGCTGAAGGACACCATCACAGAGAGGTACCCGATCTGGAAGGAGAACACCATTGAGTTCCTGAGGAATGTCACTAATAAGGTGAGCATTGAACATATACAACTAAAGTCTTTTGAATTTTCACCAGCATGTTGGACAAAGGGAAATCCAGAGATTTTGTTTTAAAGGTAATCAAAATGACATTCCATTACATTTTTTGTTTGTTTGTATTTTTCACTAGATGGAAGAGATCTATCAGCTTGTCCTGACGGAATACCCCAATGCTCGCGAGCATGCCGTGCGTTTCATTGAGTTCATCAAGAACAAGACCCTGGAGATCCGTGACGAACTCGAGACCAGACTTCCCATCCTCTATGAGAAGACCAAGGAGCTTGCCCAGGAGTACTACGACTTTGTCCAAGAGCAGTACCCAGTCTACCTGGAGAAGACCAAAGTGACCGCCCAGGAATGGATCGACTACATCCGGGAGCAGTACCCCATCTACATGGAAAGGGCCAACGAGTTGGTCCAGGAATGGATCGACTACGTTGAGGAGCGTTACCCAACCTACGTGCAGAAGCTGAGAGATTGGGCTGAGGAGATCCGCAACATGATTGAGGCTGAGTATCCCCAGTACCGCGAGAAGATTGAGCAAGGCATCGAGAAGATAAAGGAATTCTTTGAGTACCTGAAGACCCTTCCCAGGATGATCCCAACTGACCAGATCTTGGCGCTGCGCTACTACCGGCCATTCAGCTCTGAGTGTAAGTTTACTTAGTCCTTGAAATGAAAACCAGTGCTCTCCTTTCAACATGAAGTGACTCTTTGAATTTGCTCACACAAAATGCTATGAGTTTCAAACAAGACTAAAGCCTAAAACCGGTGCTTGTGGTGTGTTTACTTCCCCCATGGTATTCTAAGCTACAATTTGGGGGGGGGGGGGGGGAAGATGATTAAGTCACAGTAAAGAGAACCATTCTCATGCTTGCTAACTGAATATGGGATTTCTGGAAATCAGTTAAATGCTTCATTTAGACAATTTTGTTAATTTGTTGTATTTTGATTCTCTCTTTTTTTTCATTACAGCGACTGCTATGGTGTTTGATGATCTCCACATCCTGACCTTTGACAGCCACCTCTATGAGCACCCTGGCTACGTTGATCCCGAGTGCACGTACGTCATGGCCACCGACTACATTGACAACAACTTCACTTTGTTCAGCAACCAGTACAACATGTTCCTGGCTCTGAAGGGAGTGCACATGAAGATCAGCAGAGGCAACGAAGTCTTCTTCAATGGCGAGGAAATTCCCAAGAACATCCCCTTCCAGTCAGCTGACAAGAGTGTGACGATTGTCCACGATGGCCCATGGGTGAATGTCACCTCCACCTATGGCATCAAGCTCTTCTGCAACTCTGAGCGCTTCCTGTGCACCATCTCCCTCAGCTCCTGGTACCATGGCAAGACACGGGGTCTCCTGGGCAACCTGGACCGTGAGGCAAGGACCGATCGCATCAAGCCCAACGGAGAGAACGCAACCAGCCTGATCGACTTCATCAACGCGTACGAGACCACCGACCGTCCGCAGTGCCAGATCACTCGCTACAACCACCCAGCCAGTGACATCCTCGGCTGCAACGAGGAGAATCGCAACATCCTGAAGGCTCAGTGTGCTGAGTATTTCAGTGAGGACAACTCTCCATTGCAGGCAGCTTTTGAGATGCTCAGCCCAACTGAATGGAAGCAAGAGTGCATCAGCCACGCTGAGGAGTGCAGAGATATCTGTGCACTTACCTTCGGTTATGTTGAGCTTGCTCGCTCCAAGAACATCGGCATCATTGATCCTTGTGGTAAGGAACAGTTTCTTATTCAATTTTCAATTCTTATTCTCTGAAACTGCAGTCTGAATTTAAATATGCACTTCATCAACAATTTTAAGAATAATTTCCATTTCTTAATGGGAGAGGATAAGCTACAGTGGAAGCACGGTTAGTTTTTTCATATGACTCTCAGCATAGCATAAAAGTGGAAATGTAGCATGGTAATTACATAATACTGACTTTGACATTGCTTTATTTGTCCAACCCCCAGAACAATGCGTTGATCGCCCAAGGGATTCCATATGGATTGAAAGCAAGGTTGTCTACGGTGCTGACATCATCTTCACCATCTCCGAGAACGAGCGCTTCCGAGGCCCAGAGATGATGCGCAATCTGAAGAGCCTGGCCAACAAGCTGGAGAAGACCCTCAGCAAATCTCCGCTGACCGATAACCGCTATGGACTGGCAGCCTTCGGCGGTATTGATGTCCACGAGGGGGCTCACTCACACTCCATCCACGGCCAACTCATCAACAGGGCTAATCGCATGTCAGAAGGCCTGGACAGCCTGGAGTTCAATGGTACCTACCCAACTGATGCCTTTGATGCCGTCAAGTTGGCCTCGGACTACAAGTTCCGTCCAGGTGCTGCTAAGGTTATCATCCTCATCGTTGAGAGTGAGCGTCAGGTAAGAATCAAATTTGACATTTTGTCATAATCTTCTAGTGTTGCAAAGCTGGTTTTGGACTTCTTGATATTTTGAAATCTTAATTACCCTCATCGTCGTCGGTTTTAAGGCCGTTGTCAAGTCTGTTCTGGGTTAGCCTGCTTTCTCCCTATGGCTCTCCTCCACTTGGCCCTGTCCGTCGCGTCCCTTGCATTTACTGACCTCTCAATTCCAAATCTGATGTCATGGCCAGCCACACTTTCAGTTTTAATGAATCAGCATCCTTAACAGATAATTCCTTTCTTTTTCCTGACAGTACGAGAACTCCCGCTACAACTTGACCGAAATCCAAAGGTACTTGACTTCCCGCGGCATCGTGTTGTACGTCGTCTCCGACTACGAGTCCCTCCAGAAGAAGTCCTACTCTGGGGCACCGGTGGGCATCCAGTATGATAACACCATCATCTCAGCCAAGAAGGATGCCAAGGATTCCAAGATCACCAAGTTCCTGGATATCCCAACTGGAAACTACGCCAAGCTGGCCATTGCCACACGCGGTAAGTCGCCTTGAAATAAATAAGTTATCCTGCCAATGCAGGTGGAGCACAGAAGGTGCTTCCATCTTCTGCACGTAAGATGCAGATGCGTTTTCTGTGTTGCTCAAGTTCGAGTGGTATAGTCAAATCACCTTCAAGGAAAATCTATGGAAGAAATGCACTTTGCCATCTTCATTAGGTGCAAGCACTTCATGTTTGGACATAATTGTTAATGCAGAACACACATGAGATGAGAGAGCTCAAGGCAATACAAATGCAATTTCAGATAATTTCGGGAATGTCCAATGAATAATTGCAGTTTCACACAGATTCCCTATCCCAGCAAAGGATATTGTAACGCAGTCAATACTACTTGATGCGATCAACTACCACCTTTCGCCTTGCTGGTTTTTCACCACTGATAGGGGTGATGTAGTCATAAAAGTATAAGGGTTATTTTAAAATTTAGACTGACTGTTTGTGTTGATTTCAGAAAATCAGCCATTAAAATCCTTTCCTCTCCGAGAAGAATATTGGGTCTGGAAGCATCACAGCATTATGTCTCATTGTGTCCAGTGAGCACTGGAATCTCATGTGACTGATCTTATTGTTTTTATTGAATTCTCCATCTGCAGGCTCCATCTTCCGATTGGACATGTTGAGGGCTGGCAGTGAGGACCTGCTAACGATGCTGCCTAAGACCGTACGCAACGATGCCGTCCCCATCATGGCCGGTGAGGTGCAGCGACAGTGCACGTGCGTCATCAACCCGTACGGACTCGCAACCATCGAGTGCCAGAACCTCTGGATCTAAGCCTTAACCTTAAATAAAACTTTCAAATACCCAAACGACCTCTGACTTCTAACAAACGATTAACTTAAAATGAAGGTTTTTAAGTGAAGATAAGGTGCTGCATATTAGTAGGAACAAAACAGGTCGTATCGATTTTCACATATTTGTTATACAAAGATGTGGACGATGAGTTGTTAACATGGACGAATGAACTGTAAAAAAGTATAAGAGAAAAGCCTTCGTTTTGACGATTTGGATTGGTGTAAACTTGTTAAGTAAAAAATTTCTTCAACATCTTTCAGAAAAAAAACTGTCTTGATTTGGTGATTTGAGTGTTAATTTAATGCAAGTATTTAAGTTGTGTGGTATGTTATCTTAATGCTGTTTCTTTTAGGCAAGGTATTACCTCTATTCTTTAACATTTTTACTTTGTAGCTCAGAAAGAACTTAAACCACATCTAGTGATCTCGGAAGGTGTTCAAAATCCATTTAACGTTGCACTTTTTACATACATAGTCAAAGCACAGTACTTTATATCCGCTAGTAGTTAGAAAACTATCCCAAAAATTCGAGTTTCAATCTTGTAGACTATAGACACTGATTTCAAAATAAGATCTCCGTTTTTCTCTATGTTCTTGGATTACCTTGCCTTACAAATTGACTATCAATGCAATTAGAAGTTATGACGAACTAAAGGGGAATTGTGAAGGGAATTAAAGAACACGGGTTTTAATAAATGTTTTCTTGCAAGCATTAATTTGACTAATACCCTTTTCGCTAGTTTCTTTTGTACTTTTGTGGCTTATGTTATTTAAGTTAAAGACGTAAAAAAAGGTAATTTCATATCAATAAAAGTTTCTTTCCTTGCAAGCTAAAACCTTTACTGATGTTGGAATATTGCTTTTTCGGTTCTTCCACATTTAAAAAAAACTTCTTTTGACCAAATATTTCTTACTCCAAAAGATTGATAGCTGTACTTCAACCCAACTACTTCAGCAAAATAGCTCAATAAGACGTCAAATCGTGACCATGCACCTCTTGTATTCTAGCTCTGGACTGGTTCACTTGAATGGTTGTGAAACAATCAGCTTTCATGACACTAGGAGCATCGTTTGGGACGTCAAGAGTGCACAATTTCGACATCCCAAAACTAATAAGGAACATTAAAACTGTTGAAACCCCATAAGTTGTAAAAATCGTACCTTGAAATGATAGTAAATCAAATTGCGTCCAAAAAAAAGAAAGAAAAAAAAACACACACAAGTACACGTATACTTGTTTCACATGACTAGTGTGGACTTTCCATTGCTTTCGTGTAGTTAAGAAAAACCAGTGAAAAAAATCATTTTTCTCAAACTGTGAAAACTCTTTCAACCCAATTTTTTTTCTATGATTCCCTTTAGTGTTTCTCTTCATTCTGTTACAGATAAACCTAACCCAAAAATGCCTCTAAACCTGTTTTCCAGAAATGGGGAAACACTGTGTGGACGTGGGGTAAGTCCACACAACGTCGGTGCTACCTACATTATGTGGACGTCTTTTGTTCGGAAGTCCACACTGCGTATGTAAGACAAACTCACAAGTGTGTATTTGCCTGCAATCGGGGACCCCCTATTGTCCCTCTTTTGTTTGTACGTTAACCCCTTGTACGTTTTCAAATCTTGGCTGAAAAAATGAAATTTTTTGAAACTTCCTGTGAAGATGTCTTAGGGTCCCTTGAATATGTTCCCATTGCTTCCTAGTCAGATGGGCTATTGTAAGCAAATATCGCATCACAAATTTTGGGCAACATCAGTCAAAAAATATATTTCCCCAAAATCCAATTATTTTTGCCAAAATCTTTCAAATAATTAGTGTATGAATATTGAATCATGCTCCTCTTGGATCATGTGACATTTTCTTGTTGCTTGGAGAAAATTCAGTTTTTGGCCAACTTTTATTCAAAATGCAAGGTTATCCCCTTGTAAAATTTAAAATTTGGCAAAAAAATGAAATTTTTCAACTTCCTGAGAAGCAGTCTAAAGTCCCTAGAATATGTTCCCATTGTTTCCCGGTCAGATGAGCTATTCTAAGCAAATATCGCATCCCAAATTTTGGGCAAAATCAGTCAAACAATATTAGTTTTTTCCAAGAACAAATTATTTTTGCCAAAATCTTTCAAATAATAAGTGTATGAATATTGAATCATGCTCCTCATGCATCATGTGACATTTTTGTTGTTGTTTGGAGAAAATTCAGTTTTTGGCCAACTTTTATTCAAAATGCAAGGTTACCCCTTGTAAAATTTCAAATTTGGCTAAAAAATGAATTTTTTTGAAACTTCCTGAGAAGCAGTCTAAAGTCCCTAGAATATGTTCCCATTGTTTCCTGGTCAGATGGGCTATTCGATCTAGGAAAAATATTAGTTTTTTTTCCCAAAACCAATTATTTTTGCCCAAATCCTTCAAATAATTAGTGTATGAATATTGAATCATGCTCCTCATGCAAAGTTTACATGTATTTCCTCCCCCCAAAATGGATGATTTTTGCCAAGATCTGCCAAAATGTGGATGTTTGAATATTGATTCATGCTCCACTCGTCTCCAGAGGTATTTCTGCGTTGTTTGGAGAAAAATCAATTTTGGGCGAAATTTGGTTAAAAATGTAAGGCTAACCCCTTGTTTTTTTGTCAATTTTGGCCAAAAAATGAAATTCCTTGAAACTTCAAGAAAAGATGCCTAAAGTAACACTGAACACATTCCAATTCGATTTGGGAACAGATGTGCCTTTGAAAAGAAAATCTGGCCGAAATTTTGGGGTAAAAACAGTCAAATTTTGGTTTTATTTACATGTATTTCCTCCCCCCAAAATGGATGATTTTTGCCTAGATCTGCTAAAATGGGGATGTTTGAATATTGATTCATGTTCCACTGATCTCCAGAGGTATTTCTGCGTTGTGTGGAGAAAAATCAATTTTTGGCAAAATTTGGTTAAAAATGTAAGGCTAACCCCTTGTTTTTTTGTCAATTTTGGCCAAAAAATGAAATTCCTTGAAACTTGCAGGAAAGATGCCTAAGGTAGCCCTGAACACATTCCAATTCGATTTGGAAACAGATGTGACTTCGTAAAGAAAATTTGGTGAAAAAATAGTCAAAATTCGGTTTTATTTACATGTATTTCCTCCCCCCAGAATGGATGATTTTTACCTAGATTTGCCAAAATGTGGATGTTTGAATATTGATTCATGCTCCACTCGTCTCCAGAGGTATTTCAGCGTTGTTTGGAGAAAAGTCAATTTTTGGCCAAATTTGGTTAAAAATGTAAGGCTAACCCCTTGTTTTTTTGTCAATTTTGGCCAAAAAATGAAATTCCTTCCAACTTCAAGAAAAGATGCCTAAAGTAACACTCAACACATTCCAATGCAATTTGGGAACAGATGTGCCTTTGAAAAGAAAATCTGGCCAAAAATTTGGTGTAAAAACAGTCAAAATTCTGTTTTATTTGCATGTCTATCCTCCCCCCAAAATGGATTATTTTTGCCAAGATCTGCCAAAATGGGGATGTTTGAATATTGATTCATGTTCCCCTTGTCTCCAGAGGTATTTCTGCGTTGTTTTGAGAAAAATCAATTTTTGGCCAAATTTGGTAAAAAAAAAGGAAAACCCCTTGTTTTTTTGTCAATTTTGGCCAAAAAATGAAATTCCTTGAAACTTGAAGGAAAGATGCCTTAAGTAACACTGAACACATTCCAATCCGATTTGGGAACAGATGTGCCTTTGAAAAGAAAATCTGGCCAAAAATTTGGGGTAAAAACAGTCAAATTTTGGTTTTATTTACATGTATTTCCTCCCCCCAAAATTGATGATTTTTGCCAAGATCTGCCAAAATGGGGATGTTTGAATATTGATTCATGTTCCCTTTGTCTCCAGAGGTATTTCTGCGTTGTTTGGAGAAAAATCAATTTTTGGCCAAATTTGGTTAAAAAAAAAAAGGAAAACCCCTTGTTTTTTTTGTCAATTTTGGCCAAAAAATGAAATTCCTTGAAACTTGCAGGAAAGATGCCTTAAGTAACACTGAACACATTCCAATCCGATTTGGGAACAGATGTGCCTTTGAAAAGAAAATCTGGCCGAAAATTTGGGTTAAAAACAGTCAAATTTTTTTTTTATTTACATGTATTTCCTCCCCCCAAAATGGATGATTTTTGCCAAGATCTGCCAAAATGGGGATGTTTGAATATTGATTCATGTTCCCCTTTTCTCCAGAGGTATTTCTGCGTTGTTTGGAGAAAAATCAATTTTTGGCCAAATTTGGTTAAAAATGTAAGGCTAACCCCTTGTTTTTTTGTCAATTTTGGCCAAAAAATGAAATTCCTTGAAACTTGCAGGAAAGATGCCTTAAGTAACACTGAACACATTCCAATCCGATTTGGGAACAGATGTGCCTTTGAAAAGAAAATCTGGCCGAAAATTTGGGTTAAAAACAGTCAAATTTTTTATTTTTATTTACATGTATTTCCTCCCCCCAAAATTGATGATTTTTGCCAAGATCTGCCAAAATGGGGATGTTTGAATATTGATTCATGTTCCCCTTTTCTCCAGAGGTATTTCTGCGTTGTTTGGAGAAAAATCAATTTTTGGCCAAATTTGGTTAAAAATGTAAGGCTAACCCCTTGTTTTTTTGTCAATTTTGGCCAAAAAATGAAATTCCTTGAAACTTGCAGGAAAGATGCCTTAAGTAACACTGAACACATTCCAATCCGATTTGGGAACAGATGTGCCTTTGAAAAGAAAATCTGGCCGGAAATTTGGGTTAAAAACAGTCAAATTTTTTATTTTTATTTACATGTATTTCCTCCCCCCAAAATTGATGATTTTTGCCAAGATCTGCCAAAATGGGGATGTTTGAATATTGATTCATGTTCCCCTTGTCTCCAGAGGTATTTCTGCGTTGTTTGGAGAAAAATCAATTTTTGGCCAAATTTGGTTAAAAATGTAAGGCTAACCCCTTGTTTTTTTGTCAATTTTGGCCAAAAAATGAAATTCCTTGAAACTTGCAGGAAAGATGCCTAAGGTAGCCCTGAACACATTCCAATTCGATTTGGAAACAGATGTGACTTCGTAAAGAAAATTTGGTGAAAAAATAGTCAAAATTCGGTTTTATTTACATGTATTTCCTCCCCCCAGAATGGATGATTTTTACCTAGATTTGCCAAAATGTGGATGTTTGAATATTGATTCATGCTCCACTCGTCTCCAGAGGTATTTCAGCGTTGTTTGGAGAAAAGTCAATTTTTGGCCAAATTTGGTTAAAAATGTAAGGCTAACCCCTTGTTTTTTTGTCAATTTTGGCCAAAAAATGAAATTCCTTCCAACTTCAAGAAAAGATGCCTAAAGTAACACTCAACACATTCCAATGCAATTTGGGAACAGATGTGCCTTTGAAAAGAAAATCTGGCCAAAAATTTGGTGTAAAAACAGTCAAAATTCTGTTTTATTTGCATGTCTATCCTCCCCCCAAAATGGATTATTTTTGCCAAGATCTGCCAAAATGGGGATGTTTGAATATTGATTCATGTTCCCCTTGTCTCCAGAGGTATTTCTGCGTTGTTTTGAGAAAAATCAATTTTTGGCCAAATTTGGTAAAAAAAAAAGGAAAACCCCTTGTTTTTTTGTCAATTTTTGCCAAAAAATGAAATTCCTTGAAACTTGAAGGAAAGATGCCTTAAGTAACACTGAACACATTCCAATCCGATTTGGGAACAGATGTGCCTTTGAAAAGAAAATCTGGCCAAAAATTTGGGGTAAAAACAGTCAAATTTTGGTTTTATTTACATGTATTTCCTCCCCCCAAAATTGATGATTTTTGCCAAGATCTGCCAAAATGGGGATGTTTGAA